TATCCAAATATAAAACTAACTTTACCTTTATTATAATGATGGTTTGTTCTGTAAACTATGGAAAAAATATAGCTTAAAGGGGCTAATAATATTGACCTTGAAATGGGTTAAAAAACAATTAAGAACTGCTTTTACTCTAGCCCAAATAAAACCAATAAGACTTTCTCCAGAAGAACAAATATTATCAGATACTGTGAGCATTTCCTCAATCTGTTCAACATCATTTGGGAAATATTTAAAAAAGAGAAACAAACCAAAAAGGAGGCTAATAATTCTTTCACTGTTTATATAGAGGCATATATAAATATAAACATGTATATATCTATAATATAGACGGTAGAGATATAACTTAAGGTTACACATGTAATGTCTTGCTTTAAGTGAACATTATAAACTACTACACAGATCAACGTACAGTCAATAATGAGCTAATTTATGCAGTTTGAAGTGTTATTTTAATATTTAACAATCTGATTAATCAAAACTCACTGTGGTGAATAAATAAATGAAGCTGGTGTGGCGTGTAGTAGTTCTGCTCTGGATATTCAGCATTACAGCATAATAAAGTGCAGTAGTTCGCGATCTGATGATGGATGATGTGTGTGTGTGTGTGTGTTCTTGCCTCTCGCTGTGTGTTATGAAGCTCTGCAGCTCCTCTGTGTCTGTTAATGAACAGAAATCTGCCTCCATGTTAACGTTTCTCTTGTTTTCATCTCGACGAAATAAACATGTCGAGCTCAGCGCCCCGCCTACATCACATTGCAGCCCCATGACGTACACGTACGCAGCGTGCAACAAGCCCCGCCCACTCAAACGACGCTTTAGTCACGCCCACTCAATGTCTATGAAGAAATGACAATGAATATCTGTTTTTTATTATTGGACTTAACAACATTTTACAAAGACCAGGAGGTGAAGACAATGAAAATCCGATCAAAACATGTAAAAGTTTGCATACATTGACAGATCATAAATAGAATTCTGACTTTAAAACGATTAATAATGGCTTATAAACACTATTTAGAGTAAAAAGAATTGCTGCATACCGTGAATAAAATAAGGAATTACGCGCTATTTTATAATATACTCGTTCAACTATTGTTTTGTAAAATAACAACGTTATGGATGTATAAAAGCTTTTGTTTCGTTTCTTATGAAGTTAACAAATAATTTAAATCCAAATACATTTAAAAAGTAAATTGTCAAATGTTGTTTCAATTAAACTGTATTGCTTTGCTCTTAATTTAAATTTTCAGCATAATTACACCAGTCCTAATATCTCATCTGCTGAATAAAACACATAATATATGTATTTAATATATTTGAGTAACATGTATTTATTTTTTTATTGTTAATTTCTTTTAACACTTATTTATGTAACGTTATCTGTATTCCACCATATTATATAAATACAAAATGAATAAAAATATAGTCTTTCTACAATCTTAAGTTACCTAATCATTCGTCGATCTTATATGTATTTATAATAAAGTGATTTGATGATCAAAAAACATTAAAATAATCTGAGTTATTTCCCCCTTTTATATATTTGCAAATGAACAAACCCTGACCCTGGGGCTTGTTCGCGCGCGGCTCGTGATCACGCTGTTTTGGCGCGCTCTTGTGGCGTCAGTTTGTCACTACGGCTTGAAATTTGTTGTAAAAAAACGTAGTTCTTCGACTTTAGAAACAGTATTTCCTGATATAATCCTCGTACTGCTGCTTCTCGGCTGAAGGAATCACGGAGGTATTTTATGTCTGAAATTCAGTTTGTAGAGTTGCTACTTCCGGTGAGACGCGCGTCCTTGGAAACCGGGAGTTCAGTGTAAACAAACGGGCAAAGAAACCGCGAATAAAGAAGCTGTAAGAGGAGAGACTGGCTTAATTCACACCGTTACCGAGAGAGATCTTCGTGTTCT